TGAATATAACAGATCGAAATTCCCCATAGTCGAAGTAAAGAAACAATTACACGTACCAACTAGGGTCCAAGAAATACGAAACGCACTTCCTCATCCAAATTGTAGATCCCCAACCAACCATCTCATTCAACAGAGGTCAAATAAACACGAAACATACCATCTCACCCAGCTTGAGGTCTGATGTCTGGAAAAGGAAATGGTCAAGAAAATCATACTTTCAACAAACTACAAAAATCCAACCCATGCTGCATAAAGCATTGAGCGGATCTTAGTGGGACCTTGCATTTACCCGCTCCCAGGACACCATGTTTTTTTCACATGTATGCAATACGATCATGTTTTTTTTGTGCGGTTCGTAACAACGCACACAGAAACCAAAACCAAGTGACAGAGGCATTCTGCGGTTCGCAGGGTCAAATGAAAGGCGAAGCTACTGAAGCACAGCCATTCACACCCGGATGCGGTTCATAACAACGCACACCCAGCCCTCGGCCGTCAAACGAGAGTTGAAACCTCTGCGGCAAGACCTTGTCTGCGCTTCATCTCAGCATCAACAAACTCTGGTTGAAAGGACCGCACAGCTTCCCAGAGATGACGGTATTGTCTGCGGCGAACTTCGTCGTCCGACTCTTTGTCGTCCAACCACGTACTGTTGTTGTGCAAGACGATTTTGAAGCACTTTTTAAAAGGATTTTTAGAAGGAAAATCACTAGCGCCAAAATGGAGAAAATCTGCTGACAAATCACTGTCGCAGCCTTCACGCAGCCACTCCAATACGATTTACGAAGTCGAGCTGCAAAAGACAATAGTATTACGAATGCAGCCACAGCACGAAGCAACCTTGACGCAGCCATTACAATGCGATCTGCAGAGACTGAGTTGCAAAGCACAATAGAACTACACACAACGGCGTCGGAAATTGTGGCTCCAAAACCAGATCTCGACGCCAGAGCGAAAAAAAAGACGATTTTGAAACACTTTTTAAAAGGATTTTTTAAAAAAAGAAAATCGCTAGCGCCAAAATGGAGAAAATCTACTGACAAATCAGTGTCGCAGCCTTCATGCAGCCACTCCAATACGATTTACGAAGTCGAGCTGCAAAAGACAATAGTATTACGAATGCAGCCACAGCACGAAGCAACCTTGACGTAGCCATTACAATGCGATCTGCAGAGACTGAGTTGCAAAACACAATAGAACTACGCACAACGGCGTCGGAAATTGTAGCTCCAAAACCGGATCTCGACGCCAGAGCGAAAAAAAAACGATTTTGAAACACTTTTTAAAAGGATTTTTAAAAAGAAAATCACTAGCGCCAAAATGGAGAAAATCTACTGATAAATCAGTGTCGCAGCCTTCATGCAGCCACTCCAATACGATTTACGAAGTCTAGCTGCAAAAGACAATAGTATTACGAACGCAGCCACAGCACGAAGCAACCTTGACGCAGCCACTACAATGCAATCTGCAGAGACTGAGTTGCAAAACACAATAGAACTACACACAACGGCGTCGGAAATTGTAGCTCCAAAACCGGATCTCGACGCCAGAGCGAAAAAAAAACGATTTTGAAACACTTTTTAAAAGGATTTTTAGAAAGAAAATCACTAGCGCCAAAATGGAGAAAATCTACTGACAAATCAGTGTCGCAGCCTTCATGCAGCCACTCCAATACGATTTAAAAAGTCCAGCTGCAAAAGACAATAGTATTACGAACGCAGCCACAGCACGAAGCAACCTTGACACAGCCATTTACATTGCGGGAACGATCCTAGAGTTGCAAAGCACAATGGAATTCCATTGGCAACTCATCCGCCAGCAACACTTGCAATCCCATTTACATTGAGGGAACGATCCTAGAGTTGCAAATCACAATGCAATTCCATCAGCAACTCGTCCACCAGCAACACTTGCAACCCCATTTACAATGCGGGAACGATCCTACAGTTGCAAATCACAATGGAATTCTGTCGACCACACATGCACGAAAAACAGTTGACACCCCATTTACAATGCGGAACCGATCCGAGAATGATCCGAGGATGATCCGAACATATCCGAGCATGATCCGACCACACACGAGACCATCTCGCACCCGTCGCACCGCAAAGGTAGATCATCGACGTTCGGGGACGGACTTTGTATGGAAAAACATAGGGTTTCGTGCATCTGCTATCTCTCAAAAACGCATTTCGTGCGAGACTTCCTTCAAAACTCCATCGGCAACTCCTCCACCAGCACCACTTGCAATCCCATTTACAGTGATGGAACGATCCTAGAGTTGCAAATCACAATGGAATTCCATCGGCAACTCATCCACCAGCACCACTTGCAACCCCATTTACATTGCGGGAACGATCCTACCGTTGCAAATCACAATGGAATTCTGTCGACCACACATGCACGAAAAACAGTTGAAACCCCATTTACAATGCGGAACCGATCCGAGAATGATCCGAGCATGATCCGAGCATGATCCGACCACACACGAGACCGTCTCGCACCCGTCGCACCGCAGAGGTAGATCATCGACGTTCGAGGACGCACTTTGTATGGAAAAACATAGGGTTTCGTGCATCTGCTACCTCTCAAAAACGCATTTCGTGCGAGACTTCCTCCAAAACTCCATCGGCAACTCCTCCACCAGCACCACTTGCAATGCCATTTACAGTGAGGGAACGATCCTAAGGTTGCAAATCACAATGCAATTCCATCAGCAACTCGTCCACCAGCAACACTTGCAACCCCATTTACAATGCGGGAACGATCCTACAGTTGCAAATCACAATGGAATTCTGTCGACCACACATGCACGAAAAACAGTTGACACCCCATTTACAATGCGGAACCGATCCGAGAATGATCCGAGCATATCCGACCATGATCCGACCACACACGAGACCGTCTCGCACCCGTCGCACCGCAGAGGTAGATCATCGACGTTCGGGGACGGACTTTGTATGGAAAAACATAGGGTTTCGTGCATCTGCTATCTCTCAAAAACGCATTTCGTGCGAGACTTCCTCCAAAACTCCATCGGCCACTCCTCCACCAGCACCACTTGCAATCCCATTTACAGTGAGGGAACAATTTCTTTGCTAACTCTTTCTGTGACTAACTCTTTCCCTCACTAACTCTTTCTTTGACTAACTCTTTCCCTGACTAACTGTTTCTTTGCTAACTCTTTCTTTGACTAACTCTTTCCCTCACTAACTCTTTCTTTGACTAACTCTTTCCCTGACTAACTGTTTCTTTCCTAACTCTTTCTTTGACTAACTCTTTCCCTCACTAACTCTTTCTTTGACTAACTCTTTCCCTGACTAACTCTTTCTTTGACTAACTCTTTCTTTGACTAACTCTTTCCCTGACGAACTCTTCTGAGCTAAAAAACTCAGCACGGGCACCATCTGCCCTTCCACTCGTTTCCTCAGTATGCCATTTCTCTTCTTTGGACTAATCTTTTCCTGACCCAACTTTTCTTTGAATAACTCTTTTCCATGACAACTGTCTTGATAACTTTTTTTCTAAACTGTTCTTTGACTAACTCTTTCCCTGACTACCTGTTTCTTTGACTAACTCTTTCTTTGACTAACTCTTTCCCTGACGAACTCTTTCTTTGCTAACTCTTTCTCTGACTAACTCTTTCCCTCACTAACTCTTTCTTTGACTAACTCTTTCCCTGACTAACTGTTTCTTTGCTAACTCTTTCCCTGACTAACTCTTTCTTTGACTAACTCTTTCCCTGACGAACTCTTTCTTTGCTAACTCTTTCTTTGACTAACTCTTTCTTTGACTAACTGTTTCTTTGCTAACTCTTTCTTTGACTAACTCTTTCTTTGCTAACTCTTTCTTTGACTAACTCTTTCCCGGACTAACTCTTTCTTTGACTAACTCTTTCCCTGACATTCTAAAAGTCCGTAACACGGAAGTTTCTCCCCCTAAACTTCCTTTGATCATATACATTAATACGTACTTGTCGCCTAGCGCAGGCACAAACTCCACTCCATCCTCCAGCTTCGCCATGTAGTCGCCAATGGTACTCACCAAGGATTCCCGAGCATCTGTCCGCCTGATCAAAATCTCCAGCCCCTTCTATTCGATCCCTTATGATCCCGTCAAAATGTTGTCATCCTTTTGTGGTGTTCAGCTGGCGTGCCCGATCAAATCTTGATCACCCAATTGATATCTAACATCCTGCGTGCATGTGTTGCAAGCAGGAGCTAATCAAGTTGTTCCGCAGGCTGTCTGCAGGCCAGCAGACGGAATAAACATGCATGAATTGCATGAACCTTATTAAACCTTATATATCGAATCCTCAGTCAAGAGTCAGAATAAAGACTTACATAGTCCCCGGAGGTGCCTCCCCTCGGTGGCGGCGATGGAGGCCCTCCGACCTTGTCGCAATGCTGGGTGGAGATACAAAAGCACGGTGATGTCTGGCTCATTCACAATTGAGGTCTGAGCTGGCGGTGGTGTCCATGTCCATGAACACTATACTTGGGAGACCTGATCCACGCGTCAAAGTCACATTTCAAAACAAGATCCATCACGGCTAAACTCAAGGATCCAAATGAGTACCAGGAGGTCATGCATCACAAAGAAGATTTCTTACAAGTTAGCCAAACGACTCCCGCAGCTGAGTACCGCACCAACCCTCCAAGGGGCCGCCTCTTGGATTGCCAATGCCTAGTAGGCCTAGCCTAAGGAACGAGACCTTCCATGGCTGAGCCGAAACACCAGTCGCATCCAGTCGCAAAATCGAAATCCCCATAGTCCCAACAGATGCGAACCTGAAATCTGGGCAAACGCCATGTTTTTGGATGAAATGAAAAGAAGCTGCAGCCAACAACATCCGCTAAATTCGGAAATGGGCTAACACATGGACAAGGAATGAATTATGAAATCTACCTGCAAAGAGCAATCCTGCAATTCTACCCGACCCTTCAATAGATGAAAGGCCAAAAGCACAAAAAGCACACATGTGATGAGGTGCCAGTACATTTTTCACTCGAAAATGACTCTCTACATTGCACAGCACCCTAGTCACTGCGCGGGCCGCGCATTTGGTTCCTCAGTTGCAGTGAGGAAATCAACGTTGCACCCAAGATTTTTTTCATGATGAAAGAATATCAAAGTACTGCGCACACCAACAATGACATTGGTGCAACCATTGTTGCATCTACATCAAACGTTTTCCTCACAAGACCAATGGGTCTTCTGGACCGTTGGGGAAAAACTGAATGACATAAGCCCAATTTCAATCAAATGAAACCCGCTTTTGAAGGGAAACAGTTCCTTTTGTTTCGTTCAGCGACACGCCAATCCCTTGAGCAGGCAAGAAAGTTTCTCATTAGAGTTACGCATGGCAGACCCAACTGCAGAGGTCATGGGCCTTGATTTCCGTTTTGACCATGGGCCCAAACAAGAACTATGACATGTCCACACCCGCCTTTCCAGCAAGCCTCCCAAAAATATGCACAAAACTACTGGATCGTCCAACTGAGTGACCCAGTCTGCGCCCAAAACCTGAGCCCTTCTTTGCCCAGTTGCAGTTTGGCTTTGTACCTTTGCTTCAATTGGTGTTGGATTGCTCCTCCCAAAAGGAGGGTCGGGACCAAACATGGAAAGAAATTGGCGCTTGGGCGTTGCATTCCTGAAGATCCAGCTGATGTCAATGCATGAAATAGGCTATTCAAACGGTTTCCTCAAAGGTAAACAATGAATGGAAGCATCAGCTAAGTTTGTGTGCAACAGGCCCAAAAAACGCGGTCATTACATCGCAGAACCCTGTCCTTTCATTGCACCAGCTTTGTGTTTGTCCACGGCAGGCTCGGTTTTCTCCTGCATTCAGGAGGGCCACCAGCACGAACTTCAACAAACAAATCACCTGGTTAAATAAGTGGCAAGTGAAACGCATGTACATTTGGATAATTCGAGTAGGAGAAATGATGGCGCACAGGCCTTCGGCAGGACCTCAGGTTCGGCACTTTGCTGCATGACCACTTCCACCCGCCGGAAAAGCAAACTGTCCCACGAATGAAGCGGCGGAAGGCCTCCGGTTTCTTTTTGCCAATTGAAGACATGTCGTCCTTCACCTGGATAGGAAGTTGGCGGAAAAACAACATGTAGTTGGAACCAATTCTGATTCATGCCTACCGCCTCAGCTGATCCATCTATCGTGCGAAAAAAAGGGCGCTAGTCCATGCTTGGCCAACCAAAGAGTTGTCAAACCATCTATGAAGTAGCAGCATTGGCCTTCGGTTTATTCTAGAGCAGCAAAATCAACTTCCAAATCAATCCACCACACATGCCTGATCTTCCAAACCTGCCTGCAAGCGCCAAAATTGACTGTGCAGATTCAAAGTCCATTGCCATGCGTTCTCGTTGATTCATGATAAGGACTTGGCAAACAACTCAAATTCGAGAACTTTGTTTCCAACAGTCGAATGCGCCACCAATGTCGTTTCGACCAAGGTGCCATGAATGCATCCAATGGATCTTCGGGATCGCCAAAGCGTGACCTGCTCAGGCAAACGCAGAACAACAGAAGTAAATGTTTTTGACTGAATTTGACGCTCACAAGCACGAGGTCATAATGTTTGTTCAAGCACCAAAACATCCCACAGTTCATGCTGATGGTGAAATTGCATTCAAATCAGATCGCCCAAAACATCACATTCCAGAAATAATCATAAAGGATTGCGCGGGGTTTGTTTCTTGCCCTCTATTTATCTGTACATTGCCATCTGGTTTGGTTTGCAATCTGCCTTTTTGTAGCATTGGCGCTGCCAGCACCACATGATGATGTGGCAGAATTGTCTTTGGTGCTGTGTGCGCTCCTGGTCTGCACGCTGCTTCACGAAAGCAAATCAAGACAGCATGAGATTCGGATATGAAATCAACCCAAACCGGACAAGAAAAAACAGCACCAAAGTCCGTCAACAATATCAGGCCCTTCACAAATGTGAATTTTGTTGAAGGATTGGGCACCCAATTGAGCATTGACATTTAGTTCAACATGTTTTCGCAATTTTGATGCCACTGACTACCCAATAAGAATTAAAAAACAACGTCCCGACAAGTCATTCCCGGGATCATGTCATTAAGTTGCCGACTGCTTGCCGTTGGAACTGTTCGCCTTAGTAAGTTGTGGTTATTCTCTGCGCAAAGTCGATTTGAATTAAAAGCAGAACACACGCAGATGCACATTACATTTTTGCAAACAGTTCCTTGTCGGAAGGAATCCTGCAAGGTCTTCACTTGCGATGACGATGCATTCGTCGCCATGCCACACAAAATGGGAATTCGAAAACAAACCTGATCTTTTTTTTTTGTGGAACACAAGCTGGCACACATTCTCAAAGCAACTAGTTTGATTCGGTTGAAGTAAGTTGTGTCGGATATCGGGTAGCATCCGTTTTCATGTGTTACTCTGTTACTGCACTGGCCGTTTGAGCCTTGACTTCTTGTTATCTCATCATGCACGCCCAGAAATGCCCGTGGGCCATGGGAATCGATTTCACAACATGATCTGCCACGCTGAGAACGGTCAAAAAAAAAGGGGAACAAAACCAAAACCAAATCTGCCCAGTCGGGGCACACATTTGATAACAATGTTCTACATCCTGTAAAGCCATGTTTATGTCTGGATCCTTGGTATGCCTGTTCGAGAACGTAGCATGTCTAAAAATCGAATTTTACAAACTAAAAACCTCACATTTGGATAATGTTTAAAGTTTATACCTACAACCCGAAAACCAGCCTAGCATTCTGCGTTTTTTTGGCGGGTGGCTGATGTCTTCATTTGCATGTGCACACGTACCTGATGCTACGCTGCAGACATCCACACTTGCAGTTGCACATGTATTTGTCGATGCTACGTTGCACGTCTTCCCTTGCACTTTCATGCGTATGTGATGCTGCGTTGCGGGCGTCTTCTCGTGCAGTTCCACACGTACTCGATGCTACATCGCCGTTGTCTTCAAGTTTGCACAAGAACCCGTGCGTAGTGCTACGCCTCGCACGTCTTCTTCATGCGACACTAAAATTGGATAGGGTGCGGTGGGGTGGGGTCAGGGTGGCATTTCAACGTTTTTAAGCAAGTAAACACATACAGTGTTTGATGCCACAGGACAATTTTTCTCACTAACCACAACAGGATCTGGGACAAACATAGAACTATTGATTTTGCAGGTTTTTGAATATATATACATGTACGTGTGATTGATTATGCATGTATGTATGTATGTATGTATGTATGTGTGTGCGTGTCTCTGTGCATGTGTGTATGTGAGTATGTGTGTGTATGTCACGTGTACGTGTATGTGCATGTGTATCTGTTTGTGTATGTGTATGTCTATGTGCATGTATGCATGTATGTATGTGTATGTGTGTGTGCATGTGTGTATGTGTGTATGTGTGTATGTATGTATGTATGTATGTATGTATGTGTGCTTGTTTGTTTGTTCCAATGTATGTATGCATGTATGTATGTATGTATGTATGCAAGCATGTATGTATGCATGTATGTATGTATGTGTAGTATGTATGTGTATGTATGTATGTATGTATGTATGTGTCTATGTATGTATGTGTGTATGTATGTATGTGTGTATGTATGCATGTATGTATGTCTGTAGGTATGTATGTATGTATGCATGCATGTATGTATGTATGTGTGTGTATGTATGCATGCATGCATGCATGTATGTATGTGTGTGTATGTATGTATGTATGTATGTGTGTGTGTATGTATCTATGTATGTACGTACGTACGTATGTATGTATGTATGCATGATATGTATACATATATGGAAATGTGAATGTACATGTATATGTATATTTATATGTAAATGCATATGTATATGCATATGTATGTAAAATTCTCTATATATCTATATATATATATGTGTATGTATAAATATGTATGTGTATGTCAAGCTGTATGTGTATGTATGTGCGTGTGTGCGTGTGTATGTGTATCCATATGTTTATGTATATGTGTATGTGTATGTGTATGTTTCTGCATGTGTATCTGTATGTGTATGTGCCTGTGCAAATATATATATATATATGTGTGTGTGTGTATGTGCATGTGTATGCGCATGGGAAAAAAGATTACATGTATATGCACATGTATCTGTATATGTATGTGCATTTGCATTTGTATTTGTAAATGTCGATGTATTTCCATATGTTTATGTACCTGTATATATGTGAATATGTAAATGTATATACATATGTATACATATATGTATGTAAATATGTACATATGTAATAATGTACATTTGTAAATTTGTGAGAAGATATATTTGTATCTAGGTATTTTTATATATGGATATAGGTATGTAGGCAAATATGTATATATGTATATATGTATATATGTAAATAAATATATATGCATATCTGTGTATCTGTGTATATGTATATCTGTATATACGTAAAAATGTAGAAATGTACACATGTATATTGTATATGTGTATATATGTATATGTGTATATATGTACAAATGTAAAGATGTATATATGTGAATATGTATATATGTGTTGATGTGTCAGCGTAAATAAGTCGGAATATAAATATTCGTATACATGTATATATATTTATGTATTTACACTTTCGTATATTTGAAATTGTATCCATGTATAAACGTATATATGTATTTATGTATATATCAAGATTTTTATATATGTACATATGTATATATGTATGTATATGTATATAGGTGTGTTTATGTATATATGTATATATGTATAGATGCATACATGCATGTATGTGTATATGTGTATGTGTCTAAATGTAAATATGTAAATATGTATAGATGTAAAAATGCACATATGTGTACATGTTTCTGTGTGTTTGTGTAAATATGTAAAACTGAAACACGTGTGTATGTATATATGTATATATGTATATATGTATATATGTATATATGTATATATGTATATTTGTACATATGTACATATGTACATATGTATATATGTATATATGTATATATGTATATATGTATATATGTATATATGTATATATGTATATATGTATATATGTACTATATGTATATATGTATATATGTATATATGTATATATGTATATATGTATATATGTATATATGTATATTTGTATATTTGTATATTTGTATATTTGTATATATGTATATATGTATATATGTATATATGTATATATGTATATATGTATATATGTATATATGTATATATGTATATATGTATATATGTATATATGTATATATGTATATATGTATATGTGTATATATGTATATGTGTATATGTGTATATGTGTATATGTGTATATGTGTATATGTGTATATGTGTATATGTGTATATGTGTATATGTGTATACGTATATGTGTATATGTGTATACGTTTTGATGTGCATATGTACATATATGTGTATATGTCAATGTCTGTGTCTGTGTCTCTGCCTGTGCATATGGATATGCAAATGTACATGTATATGTCTTTGCCTATGTACATGTAGGTGTATATATATATATATATCAGGGATAAAATTTATCCCGGAGGGCTTGTGCAAGGGAAGGCATGGCCTCTGAAATACCAGGCCCAAGGGTCAACGCGTCATCTGCGCACATTGAAAGCGAGTCATCTGCGCACATTGCAAACGAGTCATCCGCGCACAGAGAAACCGCGTCATTTTTTTTTTTTTTCGCCCGCACGCTCCTTTTTACCGCATGAAGGTCTGAAGGGGAGGGTCCGGAGTCGCACGCACAGCTTTCCCTGACCAAGTGCCGGGCCACTTGGAGTTTGGCATAAATCCAATGCCAGGGGTTCCCCCTCAAGGTCGTAGAGGGAGGCGGGATGCCTGGGGCGGGGGGGGGGGAGTGCAGTGCTGGAGGAGGGTGCTCAAGGGGATGGCTTCGCCATCTGGGCCGGTGTGGGTTGCCGGGTCTTGCATCGTGAGACTGGCTGCAAAAGGAGCTTGGGCTGCCTGGGTCAGTAATGCGGACCATCTCGCGATGGATGCCTGGATGGCAGCTGGTCGCAGAGCCTGGGGGACTGCTCTGCTTCTGGCTTGCGCAAGGCGCCGAAGGAAGTCCGCAGCTTCTTCGCTCCATCGCCCTCCGACTTCCATGGGCCAAAACGACCAGGCGACAACGGTCTCCCCGCACAAGTTCTGGGTATGTGCGTTCTTTAGCTTGTCTTGCTGCCCGTAGGGCGGGGGAGCCGGGGTGGCGACCCTGTCGGCGGGGTTCCCCAGTGCTGGTCAAGGGAGAGACCAGGGTCGTGTCCACTGCCAACTGTGCCCCATTGTACAGGGGGAGTCCATGCGCGATGACCTCGATCCGCCGGTTGTCAAGCCTGCTGGTTGTTGTGACATTGAGGTCTGTGACGAGGACGTGTGTCCGCACTCTGGCGCCAGCTTCTCTGCATACCCGTGCTGCTGCCCGTTCTAGAGGGCCTGCTCTACTCCGCAATGCCCCCGATGTAGCACATGCCGCGCGGTGGTCGCCAAAGGAGTCAAGAGGGCGACGGCACCGGCAGTGACGAGCTGTCAAGGGAAGGGGGAGGCGGAGGCGCCTCAACAGCAGGACCCGGAACAAATCGGACGGGTATGTGAAGTCTGGGCTGGAAGGGATGGTTGTGAATGCCCGGCTGGCGAAAGCTCCAGCCTGGGAGCGGAGCATTGCTTGGGCGGCCGGAGTGGATGATGCCAGGAGTTCGGTGTGGCAACTGGTGTGGATGGGTGCCGATGCTCGGTGTTGCCACCCACGGCTCGCCATTGGTTCTTCCAACGGGTCGGGTGGTGGGTGCTGGATGGCTTGCGTGAGGTCGTTCCAAGCTGGTGGCTGCCAGCCGGCATTGCACAAGGTTTGAGCTGCCAGGGAGGCGGCCTGGAGTGTTGGCAAGGCATGGGGCTGGTGCTGAAACAAGTGGAGGATGCTGGCGGTGAAGTTTGGCAGTTGCTGGTGCAGGACTGGGAGTGTGTCGGCCCATGAAGCCCAGTAAGCAGGTTGTGCTGTGATTGTGGCCGCGAGCAAGCCTAGCCCGCCTTGGGCGAGAGGCAAATGGGCAGTGGCCAAGGCTGTGGCTGGAAAATCCGTAAGCCCCAGGAGGGTCTGCAAACATGCGGCTACGCTGGTGTCATGGCGCAAGGCGAACCCTTGCGTTTCTTGGGGGCAAATGGTGCGGAGGATGTGGTTGCAGCGTGGGCTGGCACAGAAAAGAAGCAGGAGCCAGGAAGACTGCAAATCCTCCAACGCTGGGATGCGTTCGAGGAGACTGTGGTGGCTTGCGGTGGTGAGCTCGAGCTGTTGGGCCACGTACTGGGGGGAACCAATTGGGGTGCCTAGGATGGTAAGGCCTTGCTGGTT